AAAAAAAAAAAAAAAAAAAATGAAATATTTATCTAGTCACCGTATTCCATAAAAGACACAAAACAATTCTGTAATACACGAAATGGAGTGAAAACAAAAACAAAAAAAAAAAGAAGGGATGAAGTAATGAGAGTAAAGAGATAAACAGACATCCATACATACAAACATACATACACAGAGAGATCTTTCTCTAGTGTTCCTGTGCCGTTACCAGAAGAACAACAAACTCTAATTCTATTCTCTGTGGCCCTCCCCTCACCTATTCTCCATGAGGAGCAATAATAGTAATAAAAAAGAATAACTAAAGATTGTATTAAATTCTGTATCTACGTATGTATGTATGTATATACGCTTTAATATTCTTATTGATGTATTTTTTCTCCTTCTCCTTCTTCTTTTTCTTTTTTCATCACTTCCAACATAGTAGATAGGGAGGGTGCATCTCATACTTTAAGACACATACGAAGAAACAACAAAATAATAATAATAATAATAATAATAATAATAATAATAATAATAATAATAATAAACCACCCGTTTCTTATTATTTCTTTTTCTATTTTCTTTCAATCATTCCATCATCTTCCACGTTCTCTCTCTCTCTCTCTCCCTCTCACTGTGGTGCCAATTACCAATTACCTTGTTTCCAATAGCCGTACAGGAAAGAAACAATCCAACGGGTGGAATGTGTGGACGCATTAGTGTACGTGCAAGGCTAGATACAATAAAAACACACAAACACAAAAACAAACAAAGAGAAGAGAAAAAAAAAGAAAGAAAAACAGAATGAAGTTTACACTTTTCATTACTTTGTTTTCTTTTTTTTTTTCATCTCTTCTTCTATCGATTTTTTTTTCTTTTTTCTCTAAATCTAAATATAAACAAACAAACGAACACACGTAAAGGGGGGTGGGGGAGGGGCGATCGTAAACTCTGTATTGTAATCATTAGTCTTATCACCATTAGCAATGATCACTCTTGCTCTATTTCTCTCTCTCTCTCTCTCTTTTCCTCTGTCTCCCAATATCAACGGAACAGCAGAGAAGAACCAAACATAATAATAATAATAATAATAATAATAATAATAATAATAATAATAATAATAATAATAATAAAGGACAAATAAAACAATAAAGTAGAATAAGGAGGAAAATCTCTACAAAGAGAGAAAAAAGTATCACTTCCACAGTGGAAAAAGGGGGTCACTGGAGAGAAGTGAGAGAAAAAAAAAAAGGATGCATCCAACCACAATCATCTGGTAGATACATTCGCTGACCATTCCACCAAATCTCTATCTCTCTCTCTCTCTCTCTCTCTCTCTCTCTTTTTATATATATATATATATATATTTGCAAAGATGAGATATATAAAAAAGAAAAGAATATTCACTTTTGTACACATCTTCTCATTTTCCCCCACCAAATAAAAATAAATAAAAAAAAAAATGGGTTTGCACGGAATACATGCAATCCTTTATTCACATTCTATTTTCAGTACTTTTATTCATTTATTCTTCTCATTCTTCGGAAGCACACGACTTCAAGAGAAAAATAATAAAAAAGTAAATAAACAAAGAAAGAAATAAGTAAATAATAATAATAATAATAGTAAAAAAAACCCGCATTTCAATTCTTCTAATAACATGCACATATAATGCATAAAGAGGGGGGATGGGTATTTGCGAAGCGAGTACCACCATATAAACAAAAAAAAAGAAGTACACGAGAAAACAAAAAAAAAAGGGTGGAAAGTATAAATAAATAGAATCCACAGCAAGGATGAACGACGTACAAATACTCATTTGTAAATAAGAGAAGAGCCATCAGCCACTTCTTTCTTTCTTTTTTTTTTTGTTTTCTTTTGATTTTTTTTGTCTGTTCATATTGCAAAATCTATAGGCCTAATACAATAAAGAAAAAGGGATATATATATATATATATATATATATATATATATATATATATAAGTAGTAAATGTAAAATAAAGTATAACCAAGCGACAACACCATCTGAATGAAGAAAAATAATACAAAAACAATGTAAGTAAATATATATAATAATAAAAAAGAAAAAAAAAGAAAGAGAAATGGGTCTGTATATTTCTTTTTTTTTTCTTTTTTCTCTTTCACTGTACATAAATGTAATTAAATAAATAAAATAAGTAAATAAAATGTGTATGTATTTCTATAGTACACAAGCCTCATTGAAGCCCTCATGTACCAATTCCATCGCTTCTCTTCTCTTTTTCTATTCTCCATCAGTTCTCACAATCAATAGAAAAAAAAACAAAACAAAACAAACAAAAAAAAAAAACTGTTACTGGCATTTGTGTAGGCGAAAAAAAAGAAAAAAAAAGGAAGAAATATTATTATTATTTCCCTCTCCCACAACTATACCAAAGTAAATATATATATATATATATAGTAATAAACTCTGTATACTTACGTCTCTTTCTGAATACAAACAACCACAATACCATCAACAAACAGACAAAAAAAAAACCATCCAATCACCTCTATAAATATATAGATAAAAATAAAAAAAAAAAACAACAATAAATTTCCTTTTCCCTCATCTCACACTTGCCATCTGTGTTTCTTCCACAACATCCCCCTCTCCCACCTTTTCTCTCTTTATATATATAGATAAATAGAGAGAGAAGTATAAACGTTAAGGTCGTTAATCAAACAGAGAGCAAAGGAATGAGAAAAAGAATAAAAAAAAATAAATAAAAATAAAGAAATAGATAGATAGATACGTTTTCCCATAAATACAAATAACTGCGAACTGCTGCAATGAAGATATCACGCAGAAGACTATCACCACCTCTTCTCTCTTCCATAAAAAAGAAAAGAAACAGTACACGTTTGTATGAAACAAAACAAACAAACAAAAAGAGAAAAAGAAAAAAAAAAGGTATAAAATAGACTCAACCGTTCTTTTCTTTTTTTTTTCTTAATCTCTTTATTTATTTATTTTATTTCGGGTATTCTTCTTTTTTTTTCTTTTCTTTTATTTCTTTCTCTCATTTCTTCTATTTTTATTTTTCAGCTACACACAGAGCCTCACATCCTCTGTCATTATTCTTCTCTTCCGGTAGGTACAATGTAAAATAAATAAAAGACGTAGTTTCTTTTCTTCATTCACTCATTCATTCCATACACACACAAAAAACACACGAATAAACAAAAAGGGGCAGAAGTCAAACAAATTGAAAGAAGAAATTACAAGAGAATAAAAAAAAAGAGAAAAAAAGAAAAAAAAAAGAAAAGAGAACATTCTTCTTCTTGTTATTCTTCAATTACCATCATTGTTTAAACTAATGTTATTCTCCTTTCTTATCTCTCTCTCTCTCTCTCTCTCTCTATACATACATATATATATATATATATATATATCACATTCTGTCCATCTATCTATTTTTATTTTTCAATTCTTCTCCTTGTTTGACTTCTTCTTCCCATCGACGTTTATTCCCACCACCTCGCGGTATATTTTATTTTCTATTCACCCCTCACTCCCTTTCCATATATATATATATATATAGTAATGGTGAATGGCAAGGGGAATTAACAGACGAAATTTCTTTTTTTTTCATTTTCTCTCTGTGGATTGACAACAACAACAACAAAAACAATAGCAGCAGCAAATAAAATAAAATAAAAAAAAGACCAAATACGAAAGGGAAAGAAAATGTAAAAGAAGCAAAAAAAAAAAACAGGGTGAAGACGGATGGGATATCTTTCACATCACTACTGGCATCACTACTATCTTTCGTACTCCCACAAGAAGCTAAAGAAAAGAAAAAAAAACAAACAAACAAACAAACCGTAACTTAAAGGGAAGAAAATGATGTTGATGAAAAGAAAACAATAAAATATTTTAAAAAAATGTAAAACAGATGTAATTATTGATGAATAAAACACTTTGGAATCATTAAGGAGCACACCAACTACAAGAATACTCATTCAAAAAGAAAAAAGAAGAAAAAGAATAATGAAAGAATGAAGGAAATGAAAAACTCTTTCTCTTCAGGAATTATAATATCATTCCATCGTTTCTTCTTCTTATCTTCTACCATATATATATATATATATCCGCAATTCTATTTGGTGTGCTTCTCTCGTCTTTCTCTGTGGGTATGTACGTAAACAACCGAATTCCTTTTTATTTTTAATTATTATTAATATCTTTTTTTTTTCACTACGTTTCGCTTCTCTTTTTCTCTTATGATTTATATGATGATGATGATTATTATTATTATTATAATGATTATTATTACTGCCGATGTTGTTGTTGTTGTTGTTGCTTGATTTCTTTCCTTTTTCTCTGTGTTGTCTGAACCCTTTCCCGTATTAATGTTTTTTTTTTTTTTTTTTTCATTCTACGTTTCTTCGTTTCGTTCGTATCTCTCTACTTTTCATTTTATCTCTTCTTCTCTTTTCTCCTCTCCTTTTCTCCTGCTATTGCAGTGTAGATCTGAGCAGAGAACTTCTCTGCTATTCTTTCGCATCATTACAGTCACTCACCCCACAAACATCCACAAGTTTATCTTCACTCACTTCACTCATTTTGGTTCTTTTTTCTTTTTTGTTAAATAAAGAATGGTGTCCACTAACACCATAAATAAATAAATAAATAAATATATATATATATATATATAGATGTATACATATATACATGTATGAAATCTAAAGGAAAATATAAAAGGTATTATTATAACTCATCATTGAAGGAAATAGATGGAAATAAACACAATTCAGTCGAAAAAACTCTCGTAAAAAATAAATATTCACGACGAATAGGTAAAAGTAGAGTTCTAATTGAGAATATATGTCTTTTCTTTATTGGTTGTTTGTATTTATTTCCTTTCCTTTCATTGTTGTTGTTGTTGTTTTTTTCTTTTTTTTTCCCCACACAATCGTTTACTTCATTGTTTTTTTTTTTCTGCACAATTCCCTTTCTACCTCTCTAGTTCTTCTCGTACAAAGTAGGGAAAGTGCAGGAGTGAGTGAGTGAGTAAATAACATAGTGATAGTGTGGGTGAGGACGCGAAGGAAAGAATAATAATAATAATAATAATAATAATAATAAAAGAAGTATCCGCCGATAACAGAGACAATATTTATATATAAGAGAAAAGAGATATAAAACAGTAATGTTTCAAGAAAAAAGACGGTGGAAAAAACAAAAAAAAAAGATAATAATAATAATAATAATAATAATAATAATAATAATAATAATAATAATAATAATAATAATAATAATAATAATAATAAAAGTGCGGGATATAAGAAAAAGAAAAAAGAAAAAAGTTGTTGTTCAATCTCTTTCCAATTTTTTTTTTATTATTATTTTCTCTTTTCTTCTTTCCTCAGATGTATTCAATCCATTAATACGTTAACCTTCCTCTTCTACCACTACTACCATCGGAGAATAAAAGGAGGTTTGTTATGATTCTCTTCTTCCTCTTGTTGCTGCTGCAGACGAAGTTCCAATGCCTCTGCGGGGAAACGACGCCGGGCCTCACGCAACTCATCCACCGCAGTCAACACTTCTCTGTATTCGCATTCATCCGCATTCTCGCGGTCACTGTACCGAAGAAGAAGCGAACACCACTTCAAGTCTTCCGCCTCCCACTTGGGACGACTCACTCGATCATTTCTTCTCTTCTTAAAAACACCACTATTATCAGTATTATTATTATTATTATTATTATTATTATTATTATTATTATTATTATTATCATTTTTCGTGTTTCTAGTCCATAATGGCAACACCGGTGATGTAGTAATGGCTGGATTCACCACCGTAGAGGTATTATCACTGCGTCCCTGTCCTTCTCCTTGTTGTTGTTGTTGTTGTTGAAGTCTTCTACTGAGAACTGTGGGGAAAATATTCTTCTCTGGTGTGTAAAAGAGAGTTCCCACACCAGGTATAGGTGGAGGGATGGTGTAAACATACTTTTCCATAGAATCTCCTACACCATCAGAAATAATACTCCCTTGGTGTTGAGAATAGGAAAAATTATTATATCTATCACTATCATCCTCATTATTATTATGATTATTATGATCATCATTACCACCACCTGTCTGTGAAGGGATATCCCGTTTGTAAATCAATTCCCCTTCAGCTGTAACACCAACAACATCAATGTCGTTAGGAAGAGATTGTGTATCCTCCTTTTCCTCCTCTGTTGCTTTCACACCAACAACACCATCCACAGAAGTAGGGATCATCGCGGAGACACCACGAGTCCCAATACTGCGGATATCAGTGACACTTCTGTATTCATGAGTTAATGTCAAACGAGGATCAGGACTAAATCCTGAATTCTGAGGCATATCTGTAATCATAGTATTCTCTACTATTTGCCGTTTGTATTGTTCGGTCTCATTTTGTCGACGAAAATTTCTCTGCTCTACTGTGGAAACAGAACTAATGGTTAAAGGGCAATCACCCACCGTACAAAACTCTGGTACCACAATGTGTGCCACTTCACTATCTTCCTCTGAGTCCATTAAGGTTGGGGAGTACTGCAAAGAGACGGCGTAACTCCTTTTATGTCTAGAAATGGAGGACGGTGATGCACCAATGGGTGTAGTAGAAAAGTCTGAAGACATCATATCATCATCATATCCAACAGAAAGACTATTCTTTGGCGACATTGCAGGATAAGGTGTTTGTGTGGATGGGGATTCGGGTCGTGATACGTCTGTGAGAGCTCCTCTGTTGTTACTACCGCTACTACTACGTGCCAGGGCAGCATGCAGTCTTAACACCGCCGGATCCTCTTGATGTCTACGCGAGAGAAGAGCAATGGGAGGAGGCGTTGAGTATTTACTTGCGGCTTCAACTGCACGTGTTGAGGAGAGAGCGAATAACGATAGGGGCGGGATAGGACGGGCGTGAGAGACCTCCACATCACTATTATCATCATGGCGATTTCTACTCTCTTGAATGACTGGATGATCATTATACGCTGGTGGTTGAAGTGCTACCGGGTCAATTGTATTCATAGTGGTCTCCATCTGTATTATTATTTTTTTTTTTGTTTTGTTTTTTTCTTTTTCGGGTATGTGTTTCGTCTGTATTCACAGAGGTAAATAAGAATATACCACAAACTATAAATATATTATTAACAGCACACACGTCTTAATTCTCTTGAATCTCAGATAATTCTTTGTTTGTTTTCTTTTCTACTTCTGAGGACTTTGACAATTCTTTTTACTGAGTACACGAGATGTGAGTGTTAAGGTAAAGGCTGGAAGGCGAACTGAGATCGACAAATTCTAAGAATATTTGTATATTTTGTTTTTGTTTAAAAACCTCGCTTTGAGTGTCCAAATATATAAATATATATATATATATTCTTTTTCTTTTAGATCACTCCTTGTATTCTTCTTTCTTTCTTCTTTCCTCCTTTTTCAAAGGAATTGTTTTTTTTTTTTTTTTTTTTGTTTTTATTATTATCTCTAAGATTCCTTCTACTTTCCTTCGGAGTTTCTCTTCTGTTTATGCGCTCTCGTTTCTAATTACCGATTTCGCTGTTGCTCTATATGAGTATGTATATATAGTATATAATATTATATATACACACACTTTGATCTCGTTGTTGTTCGCTCTTTTTTTGGTTCAAATGTAAACAAATAAATAAATAATATATCTATCTGTTTAATCTTTGTGTTTTTTTTCTCTTTATTTCTTTGCCTTCTCTACTGTCCTTGCCTCTTAACCACTCTGGATTGCGTGTTGAGTGCCTACCAGCATAACCAATAAGAGAGAAAAAAAAAAGAGAGTAAAGAAATATTAAGAAAACAAAACATGTAGACTCAATACAAAGGGACATACACAACTGAAATATATATATATATATATATATATATATATATATTTCCACACTTCTACAAATTAAGCTTCACATATGAGCTACTCTCTCACTCTCTCTCAACCACATATTCGCTTCCGTCCTTCATAACAATAACATAAACTGATACTCACACTTGCAGTTCCACTTTCACACACATATAGATAGATAGATAGAGAGAGATAAAAAAAAAAAAAAATAAAGAGCTGAAAGAAGCAAACCTAGTTCTCTACTTTTTCTCCTTTGCACTAATAGAGTGAAGGGAATACTCAGACACAATCTTCACACCAAGAAGGAATAACGCTGAAGAAGTATAAACATGGGAATAAAAACAATCGTAAAAAAGACATCATCAATACCCACTGAAAAAAAAAGAAATAATAATAATAATAATAAAACCCACATAAGGGACAACAAAAGCAAAAAAAAGTATAAAATGAAACTATTAATAACAATAGTAGTAGTAGAAGTAGTAATAGTAATAATAACAACATATATATATATATATATATATATATATATATATATATATATAAAAGTAATATGATAAATACCTACTCTTCTCTTTTTTCTCCTACCACCAGTAGCTCTGCCGTTTTCACTTCAAATCCAAAAGTTCCTGTAGAACTCCTACTATTATTCGCGAATGCTGCCTCTGAGGACCATGAAAGAGTCGAAGATGTCGTCTGCCACTCTGTTAATGGAGGCGATGCAAACGTTGGACATGTTGTCGTTGAACCATGCGTAACGGAATTATTGAGAAAAATACTGCACCCACCGCCGCCGCCAATGGCAAGTGTATGCACACCGCAACTAATATATTGCTGATTCACCCCTGTGGATCGGAATGTGCGGAGTTGCGGTTTCTCCTCTGCGGACGACGGCAGCAGCAGTTGAAAGACAAACGTCTCATTACTACCATAAAAGCGGCGGGTTCCCAACTGCAGTGGATGTGATAAACACGCACCAATCAGCAGTGTACCTCTTTCACCTGACGACTGCGAGGCGGCGGAATTCACCAATTCAAGCACCAACAATAACGGGGGCTGCCGCCGCGATGTGGAGATCTCCCGCTCACTGCAACTCACCAGTGTGCGGTAACTGCAGCCGTGGAAGCGAGTGCTGTAGAGAAGCCGCCACGGTGTGAACTGCCAGACGGCCGGCAGCTCCTCATGCAGCAGTTGACGGGCAGCGGTGGGGAGTACAGTAATTCCACACTCCTCCGTACCTTCTTCTCTTTGTTTACGTGTGAGTTCTTCAATAAGCCGCCGCGTTGCCAACAGCGCATCAGAAGAACCTCCATCGAAGGCAGAATAGTCAAACTGAACGGCAGGCGTGTATACCCCTGGTGTCGCTTCCCAGACATCTCCTTCACGAACATTAACAATGTCATCCTTATCAGTGATATCAATAATGGATTCATTCGGGTCATATAAGGAGTCCTGAGGGAAATCTTCCTTCTCATAGGCGGGTGAAAGAGTATTCTTTGATTCATCATCCCCCAATGTTTCCCTACTGCTTTGTTGCCCAAGAGATAAGGGTGATTGTAGCAGTTCAGTGGAGTACACACCTTTTTGCACCACCTTAAACAAACTATTTATACATGTACGACTAGCATTCAACTCCCTTTGTTCATGCCACATCCCTAACCAAGATGGGCCTAAACGACGATCAAACTCAAACCGTAGGTTTCCAATAGCATTATTAAGTTTATCAACAACAAACCCTAATAGATCATTTTCGTTTCCAGGGTCATTATTATTATTATTATTATTATTGTCATCATTATCATTAATTAAATCGTTCCTATTGATATTATTTAGAGAAACTAGTGTTTGAAAATCACTGTAACGACACGCAATAACAAGCAGACGTAACGCTAGTTCTTCAGACCTACTATAGGCACAATCGTCTTTTGTTGTTTCTCCTAATAATAATGTCAATCCATCACCATGAAGTGAAGGAAGTTTAAGCAAACCTTGTACGCCTTTTTGAGTACTATTTTCCGCCAGAAAGCATCGTAATGGGAGTAAAGAAATCATTTTATGATGCTGTCTTTGTTTCTGGTGACTGCTAATATGATGTTCAATATCATCTGCAGAAAGTAAACCCTTAGAAATAAATGTGTTAGTTGAAACACTATTCTGATATCCCTCTATCCCTACCCCCAGAAAACGAGATACAACATTTTGTACACGACCTGCAAATGATGATGGTGGGTGTTCCATTGCACCTTCCTTATTCATTGATGCGAGGGCACTCTGAAACATATCACTACTACGAAACCCAGATGCAAAGGTCTGTACCATACCGAGTGCCTGTAAAGTAATCCATGTAGGTTTGAGAACCTTATCCTGATTATCATCTCCTGTTGTCTCATCCATCTCGTGTTCCATGTAACTTAATGATGTAAAGCCTTCCTCCTCCAGATCATCAATCCCTTTTAATTTTCCACCAGTGAGAAAGGAAATAAGTTCATTACATACCTGTCGTACGGCTACATCTACTGTTAACGACGATGATGATGATGATGATGATGATGATGATGATGGTACAAGTGATTTCTCCATTAACTCAATGGCACTAGTTGAAAGGAAATGTTCAACAACTAAGAGAACTACAGTAAGTATATCAGCTGATGCATCTGCGTCAATACGTTTATCAGAAGTAGTCTTATCTTTATCTCGTTCCTCTTCCTTTTCATCTTTCTGAATTCGATTTTGTTGCCAATTAAGAGCATTATTTAAGGTAAGTAAAATATATAGCAAATCTTCCTTTGTTCTACAGTAGAGGATAACAGCACTGAGATCATGAAGACACGAAATACGATGTAGTAGCTCTTCAATTTGGTTATGCTTCCGATGAGTCGTGCGCATTTCTTCAGATCTTGATACACTCTCTGTGTCTGAGGCATCAGAACTATTCTTTTCTTCTTGAGAGTCTAAGTAAGATATTTCCTCATTACAGTGCTCAACCACGTACCGCCACGTCAATTGACCAGATACCTCATCCGTATCCCTTTGCTCTTTACTGAGATGTTTCCTTCTTTCTTTTTCTTTAAGTCTTATAACTCTTTGCAGACGTTGTACATCGATGGCACTAAGTAAATGATAGACTTCTTGAACACAACCCTTGCGCCACAAACAAAAGGAAATATCCCATATCAAAGTAATAAACAATAAAGAGATACAATATGACTGTTTGTAGATTTTACCTTCTGGAAGAATATCCTTATCTACATTAGAAAGTACTGAAGTTAACCATAAGACTCGTGTATTCGTTATATCCTTTTTCTTTTGCCGTTCTTCTTCTGGAAGTTCTTCCAGGTATTTGTCAAGTAGAAGAAAAGCAGTTTCAAGTAACTCTAGAAGTGTATTGCACTTTTCAGCATATAATTTCAACACCAGTAAAAATTCATTGGCAGCCACAAAATGTTGTCTAGCATCCGCCGCAGAAAAAGCTTCCTTTAATGATGAGTACATCAACTGCATATCTGAGTATTTTTTGGTTGTTCCCTTTGTTTCCTTCGAATTAGTGCTGCTGTTATTAGCCTTGGTAGTCGACAAGACTTCTTTCTTTGTCGTACCCCCAGTTTCACTATCAGAAAGAAAAAGGAGAGAACGGAATACCCTGTCCCAATGAAATCCTTTTCTCTCTCGTTCTTCACTCTCACTCAGTGATATATCGTCTTCTCCACCTGCAGAAAGAAATAAAGTTTTCTGTAACCAAAGAACGTGATCAATAAGTTTCGTTTCACGTTTTCGAATATTTTTGACAGACTCAATGGGATTTTCCACAATTTGAGCAACAGCCTCTGCTTCCTCTCTTGATATTCCTTCTAGTGTAATACCGCGAAGTCTCGTATGAACCTCTAGTTTAATATTTTGTATACGCGCTGCAACTATGTTTGCGCACGCGAGTTCATATAAAACATAAACCCCGCATTCCCCCACGTCCACATTACAAGCCGAGAGTGCCTCCATTAACTTCTTTTCATTTGCCTCTAGGGCATTCCAACATGAGAGCATCGTGCTACACGCAGCTTGAGAGTCTAACGCGACTGTGGCTGCATGCATGCTAGACCGACACTCCACAATGCACATCTCGAGTTGTGCCAATTCCCGCTGGGAACCACCATCTTCATCTGGTGGGGGGACCGATGAGGGCAAAGGTGTTCTCTTTGGAGTGGTCATCAAGAACACCGTAGCAGCAGCAGCAGCAGCAGCAGCAGCAATAGAAAAGGAGGCAAAATGGTGGGAAGTAATGTAGGAGACTGGTGTGCGAAAAACCACTGTAGGCGTCTTTTCATTGCACCATGAGAATAAATAATTATAACAATAATAATAAGAGAAAAAATGAAGAGAAAGAGAGAGAGAGAAAGGAAAGGGGTGAATGCAGAAAGAGAGTAATCATAATAATAATAAAAAAAAATGGGAGCCACCAACACAAACAACAGACCAGTAAATAAAAAGAAAAATAATCCTAGTAACAACAAATAATAAATAAAAAACATGAAAGCACATCCTCCACAGAGTAGGGACCCACTCAAGCACGTCTTTCACTAGATATGTGCTTAGTCGAAGAGACCAAAGCCCATATCGTCATCCTCTTCCTCTTCCTTCTCGGCCTTCTTGGCAGCAGCGGGAGCAGCCGCAGCAGCACCACCAGCAGCAGCAGCAGGGGCCGCAGCAGCCGCAGCACCGGGCTGAGGAGCCGCCGACAGGGCAGCGGTCAGAAGAGTCTCCATCGGCTTCTTCTCAAGGAAGCGGGCAAAGAGAATGGGCAGTGTGTTGCGCACTGACATACCAGCTGCCTTGCATGCGGCTTCAATGTTCTCAGAGGTAACGGGGACACCAGCGTCGCTCAGAAGAAGGCAAGCATAGGTGCAAGCCAGTGTGTCGTTGGGGTTGATCGTGCCGCTCATGACTCTTTTAAGGAAGTGGGAACGCGACTGTGGAACCTGCAAATAATAATAAAATAAAGATGATAAATGTGGAGGAAGAGAGAAGATAGAAGAAAGAAGGAAAAAAAAGGAAATAATAAGTGAAAGAAGAAATCCAAATTGTTGTAAGAAAAAAACAACAACAAAGGGAAGCATCCCAAAACTGATAATGTCAACCATAACAATAATAGTCAAAAATACAAATGAAGTTTTGAAAAAAGAAAAATTGGTATCCACAAATCAGGCGTCAAAAATCCCCATGGATGCTTAGTCGAAGAGACCAAAGCCCATATCGTCATCCTCTTCCTCTTCCTTCTCGGCCTTCTTGGCAGCAGCGGGAGCAGCCGCAGCAGCACCACCAGCAGCAGCAGCAGGGGCCGCAGCAGCCGCAGCACCGGGCTGAGGAGCCGCCGACAGGGCAGCGGTCAGAAGAGTCTCCATCGGCTTCTTCTCAAGGAAGCGGGCAAAGAGAATGGGCAGTGTGTTGCGCACTGACATACCAGCTGCCTTGCATGCGGCTTCAATGTTCTCAGAGGTAACGGGGACACCAGCGTCGCTCAGAAGAAGGCAAGCATAGGTGCAAGCCAGTGTGTCGTTAGGGTTGATCGTGCCGCTCATGACTATCTACGGTAAACCTTTATTCAAATGAAGAGAAAATAAGTATATATATATGTAAAAAGAGAGTGGGAGAGAGAGAGAGATTATGGACAAGGTCCAAGGGAGACCAGTTATACAAAGAAAGAGTTCACTACATATCCCATCACATTTGACCTGCGAGGGTAGAAAAATTACTTACACAGAGAAACACCCCTTTACTTATGACGAAGAAGATCCCATTCTCAACATCTCTGCAGAACTTGTAAAGAACATAATAAAAAAAAAAGGAAACAAAGAAAAGTTCTGTAAAACAGAGAAAATAAAATAAAATAATAAAACAATAATATTAAGTCAATAGCATCAGTAATGCTTTAACCGTTCGTGTAAAACCCTTGGTCAACTTACACCACAGAGTTTATTCTCTGTGTTATTAAATCGTGTATTACCCTCACTGAAAGAAAAAAAAAAAAAGAAATCCCAAAAAATTACTGGTGCCCCATATGAAAAAAAAAAATATTATCTGTGTCCGTCCCTGTTTTGCATAATTATTTTTTTTTCTTTTTCTTTCTGCGTAGCCGTACTTATATCTGTATTTCTCTGTTTTAATTGAAGAGTCAGCTACTATTACAGTTACTTGCGGCCACTGCCACTGCTGCTGCTGCTGCTGCTGGCCGAAGTCTCAGTGACGTCATCTCCACTGGACTCGCTGCACTCAACATGCCACTCCCAAATAGCACTCTCTGGATTACCAAACAAGTGATGAGCAAAATAGGGCGACACTCCAGGTCCCTTCCCACAACGACGGTTTTGTGAGTTAAAACGCACATTTTCTTTTTCCTCTTCTGTTTCTTTCTCGGGTCCGTCTTCTTCACGGCGCCGTTTAGTACCAGCAACAACATCAACAGATCCGTCACCAAAAGTATCCGTAGTTAAATGACCTTCACATCCCTTAAATACGTCCGTTTCGAGTACTCGAAGCACACGACGGAGCTCTCTAATATTATGACGTAGTGTATGAAGTTCTCGAGACGAAAAAAGGGCATCACAATCAATAATTTTACTCGTATTACTAATATTAGTATTAATAATATTACGAATTGTTGGGATTTGTTCCTTTGGTGCCACAGCAGTCTCTACCCCAGTATTGGTAGAATGAAATGATCCGATAGAGCGGTGACTACGTGAAGTATTCGATGTACAATCATCATCACCTGCAAAAACACGGCCCATCCTTTCACCATAGCGAAGTTGTCGCCATGGATTAACTCTTGAGGGATTTGCAAGATTACTACTAGAGCGTCTCGTTCCACATTGCTCGCGTAGACTTCGGATGAGCGCAGAGACAAGTGAGAAGTATTTGTGACAACAAATCCCTAATAAAACAGTTTCATCATCCTCCTTTCCACCTTGTTGAACTCCTTGCCGTGGTTGCTGAGTTATGGCAAGGTGAAGAAGTGAACCCAAATAATTCTGTGCTAATGACTGTGAGTACCCTTCTGGTCGAAAGGCCAGCCAACAAATCAAAAGAATAAAACAACGCATCAAGGTACACGTTACTTGTGGTTGAAACAAATCTGTTTGTTCATTATGATACTGCTGATCTAGCGGTACACAACGATTCTGAAGAATTTCCTTAAAAGCACGCTCAAGGACTCCTGTAACTTCACGGTCCATCAGGATTCCAGTAAATAAAGAAGGTCCAGCTAATAGAAACTGTGCCACTTCCAACGTTTCTTTTTCATCTAATACCCATTGCATATAACTTGCAGTAGGTTTTGGGTAAAGAAGTGTAAAATACTGTAACACTCTAAGAGCTCCAAAACCTCGTGATGCAGAAACAACAGTGTTATAACATGATCCATTATAGCTGCTATCGTCATCTCTCTCAGTTTCTCTCCACCATTCCCACCATGATGTTGGCCTTTGTGTCAACAACACAACAGCTTGTCTGCGATCAGGTAATTGCCATAGTGAAGAGGAATTTAAGCAACAATTGGGAGAATTAGAAGAAAAACAACCAATAGAAAATTCCTTTATCGAATCCATACCCCGTGCCTCAAGGAGAGGTTGCAGTGCAGCAACTATAGTAGATTCAAGACCTGTCAAAAGTGAAGGGAATAATACTCGTGCAATATCAAGAGAGATATGAAAAACAACACATACAGCAGATGGCCATAAAGGGACTTGATGCCGTTCTCTACCATATATGTTTATATCTTCATTACCATTGTAGGAACCAAGAGGCATATATCGCTGGAGCCATCGTCGTATCTGTTCTTCCTGCATATTAGAGAAAATACCTCCATCACTTAATAAACAACGCTGGGCTGTTGTTATTTCATTCACATTCTCTTCTTGTCGCATCCTTTGCCGTTGCATATGTCCCATCTGGGCCACAATGTTAAGAGCCACAATACAGAGACCTTCAAGCGTTGAGATAGCACTTACCTCTTCTTCTTCTTCTTCTTCTTCCGCTTCTCGGTGCATTATTGGAGATACAACGGAGGGGGATTGAGAAAAAATATAGTTTCGCAACCTTCTAGTATACAAGAAGGCTCTAAGCCATGCTGGTGGTGGAGGAAATATCGTCATTTCCCTTTTATGCCACTGTAAGAGTTTTTTCTCCGTATCTGACGGTAGTCGAAGACTGAGCACAAAATTCTGAGGTAGATTTATGGTATAAACTGGTGTTTCTACATTTATAAATCGTTTAGCAGAAGGATTCATGGTAACATCATTATTCATATGGGGATTATGAATTTGAATAACATTTTTTTCTGTTGTAATTCCTTTTTTTCTTATCAAGGGTGAACGGTAGAGACTGCTGCTCTTACTCATATTATAGGAAGAATGTGCTGCCTCGTCATCGCATGGAGATGTTTCTTCACACATCATTAGCATCTCATTACATCCTCCTGACCAAGCTGCACCTCTATCAAATGAAGCTCCTTCTTCTTCATTTTTTTCTTTTTCTTCTTCTTCATCTTCATATGCCTTCTGCACTTTACTTGTTATGCTACCACCACTTTTTGGAGGTAATTTCGTTCCTGATGATGATGATACTGTAGAGAAATGAAAAGCCAACGGAATGTGAATTACATATCTCTCTTCACCTTCTAGAGATTTAACAGCTCCAAGTTTTAAGCATACATCACATCCTACCGACATATTGCCAGGATTCTTTTCTTTATTATGAATTGTCTGTGATTTCTTTCGTAATGTTTGACATTTTTCTTTATCATCCCCATACTGATTGGCGTTGACAGTACAGAGAGACGCAGAAGCAACGGTAGCGGAGGAACATTCATCTGCAAAGAAGTCCATGTCAGAATTAACCCGACTTATCTCATGATCTTCTTCTCTTTCAGTTTCTTTCTGACGATTCTCTTCAGTATGCCACGCTTGTTGTTCTTGTCGTGAAGGAGTTGCCACAACCATCACACGAGGATTATTGGAAAAAAGCAGTTGTGGCATATCTATCTTCTGTGTTGTTTATCTGTTTGTTTTCGTTTCTGTTCCTTTCCTATAGGATTCTATACTATGCTCACTTTGCTTTTTCTGCTAAGAACAAGAACAATAATAAAGGCAAGATAGAATAAGAAAATCCTCCACGTATTTATCATCATCACAAATGCGGAAACACACTAGAAACAAATCAAGAACAGGAATATATTTATTTGGGAGTTTTTATTTTTATTTTTATTTTTTTTTTTTCCTTCTTCTCGATGGATCTACACAGCAGTTAAAGCATAATGCATACATGGTTTTTCATATTAGAGATCAAAGTCAGTGTTTAAAAGAAAAGCCCATGCATAATGCACAACAGAGGTCATGTACTCAACTGAAAGACCAGACGCGCCCACGATTACGAGTATCTAGGAAGGGAATATGTGCCTATGCATCAAAAAATAAATAATTAAGTAAATAAATAAATATTTATGTGATACACAGACGTATGTACGTAGGACTCTGAATGTGTGAGTATACACACCACTTTATATTCAGAAATAAGTTTACACTACTATTATCCCATTAATTCTTTTTTTTTTTTTTCGTTGACAACATCGCTATTCATTTTATCTAGTGTATTGCCAGTTACCAGCTATCATAAACACCAGAAAGTTATTCTTTAATACCCCTTCTCTCAGGAATTAACAGTGGGATAAATACAAAACACAGATACATATAGAAAAGAAGCCTTTCTTCACGACCCTCAATATATGTTTATAATCCTTTCTTTTTTTCTCCTTTAACTTTACGCCCACTCCACTTACTTGTGTTTGTAGGACCACATTTTCCTTTCAGTATTATTAACAACGATATTTTTGTCCACAAAAGGATGAATTCCCAGTTTTTGATTCTTCCTGTGATCCCCCCTCTTGTTTTTTTTCACCCCCCCCCCACCTAAAAGCAAATCAAAAAAAAAAAAAAAAAAA